GCGGCAAGGCCAGCGGGAGGCAGCCCGGAGGCGAGGCGGGCCACCCGTCTGGCAAAAGCCGGAAGGGAAAGCGATGCGCGCCTTTGGCCCAGGCGGGCTCCTTGGCCCCGGCCTCCACACTGGGCAGCGGCTCCGCCGTCCGGATCAGCCACACAGACAGCAGCTCCGACCTCTCCGACTGCCCTTCCGAGCCGCTCTCGGACGAGCAGAGACTCGCCCAGGCCGCCAGCAGTGATGCTGAGTCTGGCACCGGCTCCAGCGACCGAGAACGCGAGCAGCCGCCGCCGCCGCCGCCTCCTCTCCCCTCGGGGCCGGGCGTCGCCCCCCAGCATTCCCTGCCCGGCACCGACGGTTCCAGTAAAGGGCCAGCAGCGCCGCCTGCTTCCGCGGCTCCCTCGGGAGCTAAAGGGGAGCCGCCCCAGCCGGGCGATGAGGAGGCCGGGGCGCGAACTTTGGAGAAAGCGCCCGCCAAAGGTGCCCAGTCCGCCGGCAGCCTCAGGCCGGGAGCCAAACCCTCGGTGGTTATTCCTCCTTGCGACAAACCGTTGGCGGTGGATGAGGAGGAGCTGCTGAGGGAAATAGAAGAGCTTCGCTCAGAGAACGATTACCTCAAGGTAAACGGCGGGAAGCAAGGAGGCAAAGAAGGGGGCTTGAGGGGACAGCTGGGGGCCCAGGAAGGTGGAGTGGCGCGCTCGGGGAAGGGGGGGGAAAGAGAGAATAGAGTTTGCCGAGCTGTGGGTAACTTTTGAAAATGGAGAGGTACCCCAGACACCACGTGGAGTGTGAGGTTTGGTCCGTCGGGTGTCGAGGGCGGGAGAGGGGAGGGGTCTTGCCCTGTCTATGCAGTTCTGGAATAAGAAGTCCTTGTTGGAAATGAGAGGGGCATCCCTTCAGGGGAAGGCCGCTGATAATGGTAGGGGATGGTCTGAGAAGTTGTTCATCGCTTGAGGTGCCAGGATGCCTACCATGTGGTGGTGCAGAGATGGACCCCCACCTGCCCTCCCGCTTCCAAGCCATCTTCTCTGAAGAGCAGTTAAGTTGGAGAGAGAGACCCCTACTTTTTATGAAAAGAGGAAGAGTGTGTATGTGTGAAAACATTTTTTGACAGATCAGAGATGTTTTGCTGTTAGAATCTGATTTATACGTGTATGATGTGCATTGTCTTGTTTTTAAACCACTGGAGGGTTTTCTGTGTTAAAAGTGGATTGTCTGTTCCTTACATGTAAAGGAAACCATGTAATTGTGTGGTTATGAAGACAGAAGTTACCTTCATTTTTATATTCTTTGTGTATCATATTTACTATAAATCATTGTGTGTTTGACAGGTGAGAGATCACACTTTAATAACTGTTCCTGAATGTTTATGGAAAGGCCTTTAACAGCTGTTTAGCAGAAATGTGAACGAGACTTTTCCTGCCCCGGAAATGAAGTTTCAGGCTATGTTTTTTTTCTGGATTTCTTGCCTGCCAGACAGCTGGTAAAAGCATAACATTTCTAGCAGAGAGGATTTGATAATCCTGTTTTCATGATCCATGAGAGTGTGCCTCAATACTGTAGTATTTGACCCTTCTTCTGTTGTTTTTCTACGTCCCCTTTTCATGCCAGCAGTGTGATGCCCTACCCAGACATAACAGGCTAGGGGGGGGGGGGAAATGCAGCATTTTGTCAGAGGTTCTACATGTGTGAGAGACTGAGCAGAATCAAGGGAGGGCAAATCTGTCAAAGAATTTTTAAAAACCTCTTAAATGTCTGGGCTGCAAATCTGCCAACAGTGAAAAAAAATCAAGAAAGAAAAGAAAATACAGTACATGAGAGGAGTGGAATTGTTTTGGATCCCCTCCTCTTTAAATTAGAAATACTGTACGTTTCTAAAAAGGTCAGAAAATACTTTGAGTACATGGACAGTATTTGTAACACAAAAATATCACCATATTACAAAAAGCAACAACATAAAAAAACCTGTTTTGTGTGCTGTCAAGTCACTCCAGGGTGATTAATTAAGAATTAATTACCTCCAGAAACATTTTGTCCTTAACAGTTCTGCTCAGATCTTGCACACTGATGGCCATGGCTTCAGTTACTGAATTGATCTGACTCATGTTAGGCCTTCCTCTTTTCCTACTGCCTTCCAGTTTTCTTTTGCAGAAGCATTATATCCTTCAACTAGGGGAGATGTACAACATTTTTCTGGGTACAAAAGTACTGGGAAAAAGGTAATAGCTCTGTAAATAGAATGGAAAAGCTTAAGTAAAGGTGGGAGGGCTGTGCCCAAAAATGAAAGACAAAAGTACATTTATTGCACAAAAAGATAATCAAGGAAAGCTTTTTGAGGCAACACAGATAACAGAAAAGGATCAGCTGATATAAGTTTTCAGGAATGTGACAGGCCTATGATGAATTACATTTAGGCAGCCAATAAGCTTTTGCCATTCTGGCCTTATTTGGATATAATGATTAACCTATGGCTAATCTTTATGTAAATGAGCTTGTGTTGAGGTCAGGCTTACATATTCTTCTAGATGTGAAGTTAAATTATGGTCAATTGAAAATGGAAGTGAACCCATACTTGCAGCTGTGCAGGAGGGAGGGAAGAGAGTATGGAGTCCAAACCTTGAATAGGTTTACTTTTACAGCAATTTGCTGCAATTTATCAGTCATCTGAATGAGACCTCTGCCTTGCATATTACCTGTTTTGTGTGGCTCCAGAGGTTAGAACCTAAAATAAAGGGGTTGCCATTACAAGAAAGGAGATTTAGACTGTATTAGGAAGAACATCCTGATGGTAAGAACTGTTCAACAGTGGAATAGATTACCTTGCAGGGTAGAGGGCTGTCCTTCATTAAAGGTCTTTGGACAGAGGTTTTATAGTTCTTTGATAGATGTGCTTTGGACGGGGATTGGATTTGACGATCCTTGGGACCCTTCAAGCTCTATAATTTTATGGTCAACATTCTATTGCGCAACTGCATGCAGAGTTTAAGACTGTGCCCATGGTGGATGTGTGAGTACCAAGGCAGAAGTGCTGTCCTTGAAGCACTACTGCCAGTGTATTGAGCAATCAGTTGTGCTGTGCACATGGGATCCATTGCACATTCGCAGAGTGCAGTTCCTCATTGTCAGGTGTAAACTCCAACACATTTACACTGGCATAACTTTATGTTGAACAGGAAAGTGGCTGTCTTTTTGTGAGAGCTCTTCTCATGCACAATATGCTGGGCCATTTTGCTTTCAAGCATGGTTAGGTAGACAACAGGTGCTTTACATGCAGCCAAGGTTATAGATCTTCCTTCTATTTCTTTTGACAAATGAGTTGTCATCACATTAAGAGTTTGGAGAACAAGATAATTTCATGTATTGCACCAGCACTAGTCACTAGGAATTTCACAAAGACTAATTTAAATTCAGCAAGTATATAATAATGTGTATTGCTGATGGCCTATTTTGTGCTGCATGTGTTTGCTGCGTATAATGCATCCAGACTTTCTTTGAACTTCTCTATGTTTCTTCAGAAATAAAGTCCATTGGCTTAAATAAGAGTTACCCTCAAGTAATTGTGCCCAAGTTTACATTGATGGATAGATGACACGATTCTGAAAGAAGACTCTCATCCCAAATGCATATCTTACTATACTTGCCTCTCTATTTACCCTTTTAACCATCAATGAAATTGTGGTTAATTTCTGAAAAAGATATAATCCCACCTGTAAACCACAGTTTTACATTCTAAAAAACAATATCTTCTTAACCATATTCCCAGGGTACTTTTTTCCTCCCAAACACTGTTGCAGACTCATATGCCAGGGTAATTTCAAACCAACCTGACTTCAGTTGTTGGATAGTCAAGCAACTAGGGGGAAAGGATTGATGTGGTAGACTGCTGAAAACACAGCCACAGAATACCAGGAATTGCCAACCTCTATTGAGAAACTTTCAAGTACAATGTCTAAAGTGGGAAATGGGGAAAAGAGAGGGAAAGGAAAAAAGGAGGTGGAATAGGTACGACAGATGTGGTCATGTTCTACATTTTGAGCGCTGCTTAAATGACAATAAAAATATAGCAGGGCCTTTCCTCTCCAGTTTAGATAACATTCTGCTCCTAGAGTAAGTAAATTTGGAGTCAGTGTAGTGTGAGAAAAATAAGCAGCATACAGCTTGCTTCCTCTCTGTAAATCTTAAGGATAAAAGGATGAAGACGCTGAACTGCTTAATTCCGAAAGAATCTTTTTCTTTCTTTCCCCAGTCTACAGTCAAAAGACTAATGGTACCACACTCCTGTCCATTTTATATATTTGCTTTTTAACAAAACCCATAGGTGCTTCAATATATTAAGCGGGCCCATAAGAGCCAGAACAGTTATGATAAAGCTGTCAGTGTGAACGTATGGCTTCAATTTATTTCTCTTATGTTAAGTTTTCCCATCCATATATAGAAGTTACTGTTCAGAATGCTACTAAGTGATTTTTACACGCTACAGAGGGACCTCTGCAGGGTTTTATTTACAATATGATCTTTTGGCACAGAGCAATGAAGCTACATTCAGAAGGCTCTATAAATAAAAGAAACTGAGCTGATTGGGTAACCGCAAATACTGTATCACTTGACTCTCCTACTTATGAATACTGTAGTATTTCTGGTCTAGATTAACAGAAGCCTTAGTTGGTAGCCTTTTCCTCACAGAGTCTGTGGGGATTTTGTCTGCAGAGGGATTATGCCAGTATTGTGTGAAAGAAACTAGATAAAGACTGAGGACTAAAAGGAGAGTCTTCTTAATTCAAATAATACATATTAGTTATAGAAGCAGCATAAAAATTTTATTATGGGCATCAATCTGGTGGCTGCTTTGTGAGAGTGGATTAGTCCACTGCCCAAAGTGGATGTGACATGGTAGCCTCATCTGCCCAGTCTCCAACCAGGATGTGAGATCTAATGAGGAAAGGTGAACGTTCTCCACACTTCACCTTCTTGCGCTCTGTTGCTGTAAGAATTTTTATCCAGACTCATACTCAGTGATAATAGTGCAGCAAAGTAAGGCAGAGTGGGAAAGGGGCTTAGCTGTCCTGACCTGTGTTAAACTCTTGTTATAAGAATCAGAGACCTACTCTCATTTAGTTCTGAGGGTAGATGTGGCTGCCTCTGTCTTAGATAGAGTGGTCTTCATTCAGTTTAAGGACTAATAACTTCATACTGATCAAGACCAAAGTAAGGAGCCAGTACTTTTGCTGATTGACCTTTGTAGGGTCCTGGATGGGGGTTGTATACTGTTTCACCCACACTCCCCCCCCAGAGATATGTATTATATATTATATACTGTATATACAAGAGGGGCGTGGTGGTGCTGTGGGCTAAACCGAGAGATGTGTATTATATATTATATACTGTATATATAAGAAGGACGTGGTGGTGCTGCGGGCTAAACCGCAGAAGCCTGTGCTGCAGGGTCAGAAGACCAGCAGTCGTAAGATCGAATTCATGCGACGGAGTGAGCTCCCGTCGCTTGTCCCAGCTCCCGCCAACCTAGCGGTTTGAAAGCATGCAAATGCAAGTAGATTAATAGGGACCACTTCGGTGGGAAGGTAACAGCATTCCGTGTATAAGTCGCACTGGCCATGTGACC